TTGAGGCTGCGGTGGCCAGGAGTGGCCACTGCACTCCAGTCTGGGTGACAGAGTGAGACTCCAACTCAAAAAAACAAACAAACAACAAACAAAACCCCACGGGCTCCCAAAATGCTGGGATTACAGGCTTAGCCACCTAGCCTGGCCTTTTTTTTTTTTTTAACACAACACTGCAGGTAGCTACAGTCTGTCATATCTGGCACATTATAATCTTGATTTTTTTTTTTTTTTTTTTGAGTCGCTCTGTCACCCAGACTGCAGTGCATGCTCACAGCCATCGCAGACTTGACCTGCTGGGCTCAGGTGATCCTTTCTGCCTCAGCCTTCCAAGTAGCTGGAACCACAGGCACGCACCACCATGCCCAGCTAATTTTTTTTAAATTTGTTGTAGAGATGAGGTCTTGACAAGTTGCTTGGGTTGGTCTGATTTTTTTTTTTTTTTTTGCCATCCTGACATAATGCTAAACCTCATGCCTCTTAATTTCTTCTACCAAAAATTCAGAATTCAAAATTGGCAGAGTCACCCTTCCCCAACTGTGGCCCCCAACTCACCTTGTCAGCCTTCCCTCCTGCCCTTCACCCATGAACCTTACACCTAACAACACTAGATACTCGCCATTCCCCAGCATCTGGCACCACCTCCTCAATGACAGCTGCTGAGCCAGGCTCGGTGGCTCAGCCTGTAATCCTGCACCTTTGGGAGACTGAGGTGAGTGGATTGCCTGAGCCCGCAGGTTCAAGACCTGCCTGGGGAGGTGAGACCTCATCTCTACAATAAATCAAAAAATTAGCCGGGCGTGGTAGCGCACGCCTGTAGTTCCAGCAACGGAAGGCTGAGGCAGAAGGATCGGCGGAGCCCAGCAAGTCGAGGCTGCGGTGGCCAGGAGAGGCCACTGCACTCCAGACTGGGCGACAGCGTGAGACTCCAACTCAAAAAAAAAAAAAAAGACAGCTGCTGTGTTGGGGCAGAGGGCAATCTCTGGCTACACTCCTGAGCCTGCTGTTTCCTTTTCAGGCAGCCCACTAGCCTTGGGGCCTCCCCAGATTGATGTCTGGAGTGCAACAGGCCACCCGAATGAGATCCTAGGGCTCAGCCCTTCCCTCTTCAGCTCCCCAAGCAAACTACTTCCAGATCAGATCCTGGAGGATGACTCTGAGTATCTGACCCAAGGTGAGCATCCAGGCTGGCAGAAAACATGTAGTGCTTGGCTGGGCACGGTGGCTTACACCTGTAATCCCAGCACTTTGGGAGGCTGAGGCAGGAGGATAGCTTGAATCCAGAAGTACAAGAACAGCTCAAGCAATGTGGTGAGACTTTATCTCTACAAAAAAATTTTAAAAATTAGGTAGGCATGGTGGCATGTGCCTGTAGTCCCAGCTACTTGGGAGGCTGAAGTGGGAGGATCACTTGAGCCCAGGAGATTGAGGCTGCAGTAAGCCATGATCATGCCACTGCACTCCAGCATGGGTGACAGAGTGAGACCTCGGCTTAAAAACAAAAAACACGTGGTGCTCAGGCCTGTGCTGGGCCATACTGGATATCCAGAGGTGAATCCTACTCAGGCCCTGCCTCAAAGAGCCCACAGCCTAGCTGGGAAACTGCCCCAAGCCAGTGAGGTGAGTGGAAATTTCTGGGATCCCACTGCAGGGAGCCACTCACTCTGCCCTGGGGTTAGAGGTGCCTAAGAGAGCTGGCCTGTGAGCTGGATTTGGACACGAGGTAGAAGATCCCTGACCGGGCTCGGTGGCTCAGCCTGTAATCCCAGCACTTAGCAGGCTGAGGCAGAAGGATAGGCTGAGGGGGAAGAATCCCCTGAGTCCAAGAGGTCAACCCTGGGATGGCCATGAGCATGCCACTGCACTCCAGCCCAGGTGACAGAGTGAGACTCCCACTCAAAAAAAAAAAAAAGAAGAAGAAGAAGATTCCCACAGGAGAAAGCCAAAGAAGGGATTTCAGCTAGCAGGGACAGTGGACTGAGGCATGGTGCAGTGAGAGAAGCATTTCTGTCCTAGCAACCCTCTGGTCTCCCTCCCTGGCAGCTCTGTTTGAAAAAGCCTTCCTAGATCTTGAGTCTTTGCCATCTCCCTGCACACCTGAGGCTCTGGAGAAGAAGGTAGGCATCATCCACGGACACGTCTTTTCACACGTTACTTGCAGCTTGATCCACTCACCTATCCCCTCACCCTTTCAGCCTTCCACCCACTTGCCTGTCCCTCTCCTCATGTATTTCCTCATCCTCCTCAAAACTCATCCATCTTCTGTGCTCACGTGCCCAGCTTCTGAGCACTCACTGCCGCCCAGCAGACGCCTGCTTTGTGCCGGACACTTGGAATAAATTACACAAAAAGGATAAAAGCTAATAGCTGTCAGGTGCCATGAAAGACCCCACATAATTATATAACTACTTTATGATGTTGTGGCCCCATCTGACACATGAGGAAACTGGAATCAGAAGAGTGACCCAGAAACCCACAGTTGGAATAGAGACCAAAACCCGGGACTATCTCCCTCCAGCCCCTGGGTGGCCCCTGTAGCCACCATCTGCCCCCTAGGAGGCCACCGTCCCATGGAAAGGCAGCCTGTCTGTAGGCCCTGTTCTTCCTCCAGTATCACCTCAGTGAATACCTGAATTAGTGGCAGAAACAAAAATAGACACCGATGGTGGATCTCGTAGTTAGCACCAGACACTGTGCAAAGTGCTTCTCACCCCTGGAAGGCTTATCTCGTGACCACTACTTTGTAGATGAAATCGGTGCTCAGAGAAGCCATGACTCACCCAAGGCGTCACAGCTAATAAGCAACTAGTAAAGTCAGGCACATGAGAAGATATTGCTCCAAAGTAGGAGGCAGATGCCCTGAGCCCAAGCCAGCCCCTCTCTCACCATCATGGGGACTTCAGGACAGTTGCTTGAATGTCCAGGGGGTGTTGAGATGAGGTTGTCTTTAATCTGAGCCGTATGTTCACACATTAAGTCCTAGAAAAGCAGTGATGGGGGGATGCAAGGACCCCGGCTTGTCTCTCCTCCCATCTTTCTCCCTCATCATGGCCCAGGACACACCCTCTGAGGCCCCCGAAGAGCCTCCCAGCTCCCACAGCCAGTCCTCAGTCTCGATGAACCACTGCTACCTCTCACTGAGTGAGGACAGCAAAGCATCGTCCAGCCCTAGCTCGGAGGCCAGCACTGTGGAGTCCCTGTGGAGGCAGCAGGAGGTGAGAGTCGGCCACCCACCACCGAGGCCAGGTGTCTCCCACCCTCTCTCACATCTCTCTGTCCCGCCAGGAAGTGCAGGCTGACCCTGAGGGCTTGCAGTCCTCCAGTGATGAGGATGGAGACTATACGTGGACCCCCACCCGGCGGGCCTCAGCCCTGCCCACAGCTGGGAGAAAGGCCAGGAAGGTCCAAGCAGGCAGGGGCCCTGTGAAGCCCAAGGAGAACAAGAAGGCCCTCTGCCCCGCCCAGCTGAAGAAAAAGTGTGTCAATGGCTTTATCATGTTCTGCAGGATGAACCGGAAGCAATACATCCGGTGGGTGAGGGTCCTCTTTGGTCCTGGGCAAGGCCCCACCTTCATCGTCTGCCCGCCCCCCACGCCATGTGGCTCCCCATGGCTGTCTTCCCACATTTGCCCCTTCCTGGAACCCACTGACCCTTTCTCAACCACAGTTCTCTCCCAGAATTTCACCTGGCCCCGCTGTGTCAGTCGTGGCCTCTCAGTTGTGAGCGCCAAAACCCAAGTCAGACTTCAGACCTAAGAAACAAAGGAAGTGCATTGGCTTATAGAACCCCAAAAGCAGGGCAGGTGTAGACTGCCTTCAGAAGTGGTTGGTTGTAGGGCTCAAACAATGGTGTCTGGAATTGTCCCTCTCTCAACTCCACTGTCTTCTGGACTGGCTTCATTCTCCAGCCTGCAGGGTCATCTTGGGTCACCCCGGGAGCTGCGGGCTGATGTCCTGTCACCCATCCTAGTGGTAGTGGGAGGACATCTCCATGACTTCAAGCAAAAGTGTTTGGGGCTGACTGATGGATCAGGTGCCCAACTCCAACCCATCACTCCAAATCAGGGGTTAGGGGCCACCCTAGAGAAGAACTGGTTCCTTTACAGGAAGACTCAGTTCCCTGCACTCCTGAGACACTGGGTTGCCTCCTTGTGTATTTTTGCTTTTGTTTTTTTTTTTAGTCAAAGTCTCACTCTGTCACCCAAACTGGAGTGCAGTGGCACGCTCACCACCACCACAGCCTCGACCTGCTGGGCTCAGGTGATCCTTCTGCCTTAGCCTTCCAAGTAGCTGGAACCACAGGCGTCTGCTACCATGCCCAGCTGATTTTTTGATTTATTGTAGAGACGAGGTCTCGCCATGTTGCTCAAGCTGGTCTCAAACGCCTGAGGTCAGGTAATCCTCTCGCCTCCGCCTCCCAAAATGCTGGGTGGCATGAGCCACCACGCCTGGCTACCTCTCGTGAACAGCCACTTAATGCATTGTCCTTGTACTCAGCTCCAGCCGTGCGCAATGGAGGCCTTGTGGACCACCAAGGTTAGGAAGGATCTGAGTTCTCTAATGAGGGTCCCAGCCAGCACAGGACCCTTGGGTGGCCGTGCCGCTGCCTCCGCCCAAGTCAGGTGCCCCACGGGCCTCTCCTGACTCCTCCTCTCCCTCCTCCTCTCTGTCCCAGAGCCTGCCCCGGGACGGCGTCCACAGCTGCCACCAAGGAGCTGGCCCAACTGTGGCGGGTGATGACTGAGCAGGAGCGGAGACCATACTGGTGAGAAGACCCTGCCAGAGGTGTGGGTGGGGAGGCCTTCCTCACCCTCACTTCTGCTCTGATCTTCACCCTTTGGTTTCACGCTGTTGGAAACAGGCTGGGGGTTCACTGGGCCAGGGAATTTGTACGTTACCATTTTTTTTTGAGTTGGAGACTCACTCTGTCGCCCAGGCTGGAGTGCAGTGGCACACTCACAGGCACCATAGCCTGGATCTGCTGGGCTCAGGTGATCCTTTAGCCTCAGCCTTCCAAGTAGCTGGAAGCGCAGGTGCGTGCCACTATGCCCAGCTAATTTTGGATATATTGTAGAGACGAGGTCTCTCCAAGTTGCCCAGGTAATCCCCTCGCCTCAGCCTCCCAAAGTGCTGGGATTACGGGCTTGAGCCACTGTGTCTGGCCTACACTACCACTTTTTATGAGCTCTTTGGGGGTGACAGGCAGAAAGGCCCTCCGCCCTGTAGCCAAGAGGGCAAACGGACTAATCCGGGGTCTGGGCCCTGCTGCCCGAGTTCCTGTTGTCCCCTCTGCCACATGGAGTTTTTCAGAGCATAGTCTCCGCTTCCCAACTCTTGGCCCCCCTTTTCCCTCCTGCTCTTCAACACCCCCTCCTTCCCTGAAACCCTGTCCCCCACCAGCTTCAGAAAGCTGCCACCTGCCCAATTCCCAGTTGACCCCTGAGCACCACAGTCTGTGCAGTTTTGAACAGATCCTCAGAGAAGCGTGGAACTCCAGCGGAGAGCCCGTGGCCGGGCCCGTCTTAGACAGCAGGACCTGGAGGCCCAGAGGCTCATCTGGTCCTTGGTCACTGCAGGGGCCAGAGGCTGGGGGTGGGACAGAGCTGTCAGGGAGGTGAGTGAGACCCTACAGTCGTGGGGCCGCCGTCTCCCCGCAGCATCAAGGCTCGCAGGTTCAGCCGCCAGCACAACCGCATCGTGAAGCAGGAGCACTCCAGCAGCGAGGACGAGGACTGGGCACCCCCCAAGCCCTTCTACCAGCTGTTGGCCGAGAAGGCCCGCTCTGCCCTGGAGGCGGCCTCGCCGCAGTGAGAGGCAAAGCCACTGCTCTCCCTGGCCCCTCCTGGCAACCGCAGCTCTTGTTTGAAGCCAGGAGTCCTGCTAGCCCTGTCCTCCAGGGGGCTGGGAAGGAGTATTTATTGGCCCCTGCACTCAGCAGTTACTGGCGGGAACGGCTGCCCCCTCACAGCCCGGCTTCTACCCTGCAGCTTCAGAGGAACCCCAGGGCAGGAGGGAGGAAACCCCAAATGAAATGCAGGGCTCCCCTACCCTTCCTTTCCCCAGCCCTGAACCCATGGTTTCAACCCTGTTCATTCTCACCTCACCCCCTCCTTCCCCCGTTCTATTTATAGACTATTTATTGTTTTAAGCAAAATAAAGCAAGTGGAGCCCTCGTTACCAGCAAAGGAGAAAAGTGCAGGCTGTCCCGCATCCCTGCTCCCTCGCCTGGGCAGTCCCTCCACCCACTCTGCAGGCCACACTTGAAGGAAACCTCGCCACCCTTACCTTCCCAAGGTGCACCCCAAACCACGCAAAGTCCTGCCCACCTCAGGAAGTAGCGGTCAGTCACATCTCTAGTTGGGCCAAGCCATTTGGAAGGTAACCCACACCCCCCATAGTTCTGTCGTCTGGAAACTTTATTTTAACTGAAATGGAGGCATAACATGTCCTAGAAAAATAAACATTTAAGATACAAACTAGACACAGGGGCCAGGTTGCCCCAGGGGATGGGGGATCTTTGGTCTGGGGCTGGATGAGGGCTTTAGTCCTGGGAGCTAATGGAGGGGCTGCCGCCCTTCCCACACCTGCACCCCCTTTCGGCAGGAAGGGCTGTGCTGGGGGAAGGTCTGTCAGTCTCGGGGCATGGACCGCCTGTCCTCCACCCCCAGATTCCAAGCGTCGTGAGAACACTAGGTATCAGCGGAGCTATTAATAGTCTTTCAGGGAGTGATAGGGACAGGGTTCATGGGGGTGGAAATCCAGCCATTTGGCAGGGTTTTCAGCTCACAGCTAGTACCAGGTGGAGGGATCACAGCCCCTGAGTCAGGACTCCCCGAGTCCCCCCATACACATGGCAGGGCAGAGCAAGGAGAGGGCTGTCACATGAGGCCTCCCATCCAGATGGGGACGGTGCCCCAGACAGGGAGTGGACAGGGGCAAGTCCCCAGCGCCGCCTGGAGCGGCTGACCGGGCCAGAAGAATGTAGTGTGTGAACTCCAGACGGCGTGTGTCTGAGAGGGTCCCTCCTCCCAGGTCCTCGAGCACCATTGTCAGAAGAGGCGATGGGGGGCGGGGTCACAGCTCCAAGGGCTCTTCCACAGGCACCGACTGTAGCTGGGTCAGGACCTTGGCCTCGGCTTCCAGCCCCTCATCCACCTCGCCCCCTGCCGTGGCCCCCAGGAGCAGCCCCTCGGGGCCGGGGGCCGGCAGCCTCAGCACGGCGTGGGGGGCCTGCGTCCCCAGCCCCTTTTCCGCTTCCAGGAGCCCCTCTGTCCCTGCGCTCAGTTCCAGCCCTGCTGGCCAGAGGGGCACGGCCGCGGGTGACAGCATCAGCCCCTCGGGCGGGGGTGGCGGGAAGCTGGGCAGGAGGCCCGAAGAGTCTGGGGAGAAGGACAGGCTGGCGCCGGA